CCAAATGACCTCTACATTTCGATCTCGCTATTCGGACGTTTGAAAAACGATGAGCTGTGATCACGAGACGCTTATTTACCCTATCGAACTGTACTTGTCTCATTATGCCCACAATTGTATCGGCCGGATGATGAGTTGTCCAAAAGATGTGCTTGCGAAATCGACTTATTGAATATACTTTGTCTTTAAGAAATGCAAACCAGCCAATACCGGTGCGGATTTAAGGAATAACGTCGGGTAATTAGGCATCCCTTATCCGTCAAAGCTGAGAAGTTGCTCATATGCAAACAGTCTTCGAGGAAACCTGACTCCCTATTCCGCATTAAGTTGGGTTGAGTGCTTATATATAGTTCTTGATGCACATATTTCCATTTTAATTTTTACAAATCCAGACCTTTGAAGCTATGATATCTAAAAATCAGGTTCACTTGTACAAATTTTTGTTAAGGCAACCGTCTTGTAGACGATTTAAATCCTATCTTACTTGTCCATTGGATACTTATCCAGAGTAGGGGAAATTATTTAAAGGCTTTGTGGGCTTGCGTGTAACCCGCATATTTTTATTTACTTACAGACAGCCTCCGATGTAAGCTGACTCTCCATCCTCAGGCGTGGACGCACTGTGAAGCCTGCGATTGGGTTAAGCATTTATATTTGGTTTTGGGAGTACACATTTTCATTTTATTTGTTCATCTCTGGATCCTTAAAACTGTAAATACTAAAAGTCAAATGCGACCGAATCTGACGTCAACTTTAATTGTTGAGTACACCTTTTCTTTCAGGCAATCATCCTGTAGAAGGCATAAATCGTATTACGCAATTAAGCAAAACCCTTGTGGGTTTTTACCGTACCCGCATGTGATGTTATTTGCCTATCATCTCACCCGTTGCGTTGCTAAAATGTTAACAATTATATTTTAAACAGTAGTCGCCGAAAATCACGCAACATGCCGACATATGCGAAAGACAGATAGTCTTTCGCTTATCGCCAATGACTCATTTGGTAATAATGATTATCGTGTAGTCTATTCTGAAGTCATTTCTGTCGTGATAGGATGCGGGCTTTTTAACGAGCTTCGATCTGACCACTACAAAAACGTATCTATTGTAAAAACTGGCTACTTAAGTAGCATGCCTTTTATGTTTTATTTTGACTGCCTTTATAAATTCAAATGTAGTTTACGGAACACATGCACGAAAAAATTATTTCTTGTACTTATTTGATAGAAAATTACGCCTTCTTTAAATGTTATACTCAAAGAAAGGGTATCTTGTGGTTGAAAAAAAAGTCCCTCAATTGCCTATAAATGTGTAACCTAGTAATTGCTACACTCAAATTCAAGGTTTACAAACTGACGAATACGATGTATTATGAATAAACGCCTCACAATTGAAAAAGCTCATAATTAGCAACTTTTTTTAAAACCGAAAGATACCCGTTCTTTAAGTTTAAGTTTTCTAAGAAGGCATAATTTGCTATCTACCGAGTACAATAATTTTCAGAAGATGAATAGGCGAACATAAGTTTGTTTTCGATAAATTCTCGTCAAGCCTTTACAGTTATATGGTTATTAAATAAATAAAATATGCTGGTTGGTGGACAGATGTGGTGTTATTGTTGTCAGGGTCGGTGGGGGGAGGGTTTAGGGGAGGGTTAGGGAAGTTGCGGTGAGGATGTCAATGGCTAGACGGACCGACGTTCAAGACAGGTGATAAGGTGTGCGTGGTCGGATTTGCGACTTGTTCGTCTCTGCGGGGGCCGGTTTCCGAGTCCAGTGATCCGCCGTGTGTGGTCGTGTGAGCTAGTTTCGTCCATGGTAACTGCGGCGCAGTGACGTAATACTTTTGGCCGCACAGAATCAATCGGCATAGCCTCTGCCGCAGCCAACAGTCGCTGTCCAAGGAATTTTGAATAGCCTGAAGGCACCTTGTAGTTCACTCGGAAGGCCTCTTTGGCACCCAT